GAAATTGTTTCCTTATGATTTCTTCTAATGAAACATTAATTTATGTACAAATTCCGTAAAGATCTTGTACTAATTAAGGGGTAATCTACTGAAGAGACTATAATAAAGTTTTCTGCCGATATTCGACTATCACAAGTATATTGACGTCTAGCAATAGTCTAACATCTAATTATTCGACTTTTACAATTCTTGAAAAATTAATGTAGCCAGGATCCAACTATTTTTTTGTGTGCAACCATTTTTTGACGAATTAAGACTGAAAATAAAATTTATGTTGCTAATTGAAGTCCAAGATGTCAATTGTAACAAAACTGACGCCTAGAAATTGTCTAATAATTGTGAGGCCTGTTATTAGTCGTGACGTTAAAGTGTTGAATCAGACTAACTAACCGGATAGAGACTGGAGAAATTATGATCCTCACTGGTAAGGACACTTATAATCAGAAGCTAATGATCTCTTGCCAAAAAACCCAACAACTTCCTACTGTATAGAAACTCTTTTTGTATCTATCGTGCCTTGAATGCTTGTTCTTGTCTTGCGGTGAGAATTTTTTGTCACTGTAAATTGTCGCAATCTGCTTGGTAAAAAAAATTCGCCAACAGCTATTTTAGACAAACATTACAGCCTCTTTGACTTTACTGCCAGATGAAAAAAAATTCAATCGTGTCCTCCTGCTTTAAATTGTTTCCTTGATACTTTATCCTCAGTCTTCAACTTTATCAGTTCATATATATATATTACGAAACATTTTTTTAAGCGATAATATAAAATTTAAGTTGTAGAGATACATACTCTCTAAATCTGAATATGTGAAAATTCACATATTTGTACGTTATAAGTCGTCTTCTCGATCAATAAGTGCATATACACTTATAATAAGTGAAATTTCACTCAGAATAAGTGAAAAATTCACTTATTTATAAGTGTATATGCACTTATTGATCGAGAGGACGACTTATAACGTACAATAAGTGAAATTTCACATATTCAGATTTAGAGAGTAGAAATATTTTTTCTTGACAGAAATAATTTTAAAGGAATCGTATCGAAATTCAAAGGAAAGGACGAATCTGACATTTGAAACCTCTCCGCCTACCAAAAAAAATAATAATCGGCGGATTGTCGCAGGGAATGAATGAATGTTAGGTCGAAAGTGAAAAAAGAAAGAGGGCCATCAGGGTAGGAATATAAAAAGGGTTTGAGGGAGACGCGAAATTCTTTCATGCCCTTCGGAAATGTCATATAGCTGTCGGAATTCGCGGAGGCAATATTTCACACCAGTGAAATACTTGTCTGTCCGTTAGTCCGTCCGTCTACATTATCGCCTTTCCCTTTTTTTTCCTTCTCTCTTGCTCTCAAACAATTTTTCAAGGAGTTTTTACCTAGTCTCTCGATCTTTAATCACAACTCGACCTTCCATTGTCAGTGACGTCACCTCCGACTCGCAAGGGTGCTCTCTCTCTGGGGTGCGCTTTGTGTCGGGCTCTGATCCCTCTCCGCGTCATTTGTCTCCACGGACGCCTTATTTGTACGTTCTCTCACACGAATCTCGACGTATGTAACTTGGTATTCAGTCAGAGAAAGAGTGGATGGCAGAATTACAAGTTACATGCGGGTTAAAAGTTGAGTCAGCTTGTGAAAATTGCTTTTTCCTGTCGTCAAACAGTGTGAAAGAAATCTTTTCCTATTTCGCAATTAGAAAATGTTATTTATTGTAAATCGTATAATAATTTATGTGTGAGAGAAACGATTCATTTCGTTAAGAGGAAATAAAGAAAGATTTCTTGAAGGACCGACCCTTGAAAACTTCTTTTCTTTTTTTGCTTTATAAAACTTTACGCTGAACGAGCAAATCTGCACGCTTATCGGGAGGATTACCACTCGCAAGTACATTGACTGAGATTATCGTGTCCATGTAAAGCAAGTTCGAGTTCGATACGTGTGTCCCTCTCTCAGCAACTTGTAATCTTGTACTTATCTTCGGCGATGAAATACAAGACTTGTCTGAATCGACCTTCTTCCGACCGCAGATCAGCCGTTGATCTAAGTATATCGGAAAGGAAGTCATTACCATTAAAAGCAGTGTTGTAGTCCCGTTTCCAGTTTTTCAGAAAACATGTCGCACCAGTATTTTAATCTTTTTTTTCCCTCTCTGTAAAGAAATAAGGTTATAATTTCCGCTTTCTGTAGTGTAGAAATTATTTACTTATATGTTATCTTTTATGATATGCCTTTTTAGGTGCGACGTTAATTTCACTTCCCTTCACTTTGGACATTTATAAATTTTTCCTGATGAGTTATAAATTATTTTAGATCTGTTACTAGGCGTCTAACAATTGTCTAACATCTAATTCTTCGATTAGGTAAATTAAAAATCTTTTTTTTCGAAATAAACTTTTCTGTTGATGTATTGATTCTAAAAGGGAGGATGAGATTTGACTGATAATCATTAAACGTCAAGGAGTTTAATGTTCTTAAATTCAGGTTATACTTTTTTCTCTTGTTTTTTTGTATTAACAGAATAAAGTTGAAGAGAACTGAGAGTGATTATTAACTGCGAGACGGATTTCAAGTCGTCAGGTTTTCAAAGAGGCCTTGGAGTATGTGCGTATGCAGCACACATGCTTATAAAAAAGAAGCAACTTAAGATTGGTTAATTTATGGTGGTGCCCAGTCAACAAGGCGCCATGGCATTTAGCGGTTAACGCATGCAGATATATAGAGGGTTCGCCCGTCATGGCAGGGGAACTCTACAAACGGGGGTGAGAGGCAGAGAAAAGGAGACGCCACTCAACGGAATTATTTGAATTGATGTGGAGAATTGAAGCTGACGACATCTGAGAGCCAATCCAGCATTTTGTTTATTGGTCGCGCGTTGGCGGATTCCGATCTTCTTCAATTGAACCTCGTCAATCGCGATTGAAACAAATATACTACTTTCGATTCATAAATTCCTTAGGAACATTTCTTCAGGTTTTTTTTTGTCTTTTAAGGTTTTCTAACAAAACTTTTTCTGAGGTGATTGTAAAGAAAAAGTTTACTTACCCAGATGCGTCAATATTTTCAACTGAAAGAATAGAAGTCACATACTGTAAAAATAGTAAGAAAGTTAAGTAAGGGGAGGACACGAGGGAAAATGCAAATTGCATTATTTCCATACGTACATGTAATGGGCCATTACGCGCACGTGGCCACCACAAAGGAATCCGACTCTCTTTGAACGTATGTACGTGAAAGCTTGCTTTGGAAGATGTAGCGCGTGCCCGACATTATAAGTACATTGCGCCAATGATACGTCGTTCCTGGCAGTCACCGCAAACAAAAATTCACCCTCCAGGATGACTTACTTTTGTATATTGACGCCCCACGATTTTTCACGGTCGAACTCTGTTCTGCTTTTGCTCCCAGCGCGCGCATACTTAAACAGCATCTCTCCTGAGATTTTTCCTTTCAGAGGGTTTATTGACAAGGGGACAAATTGAAGCAGTGCCTTTTTTATCCCAATTTCCATTTGCAATATTTCATTTTCATTCCTGAAAGAAAATTATCCATTACTATAAAGTTTATCTTAACACAATACTTACCAAGTAAAGTTTTTTATTGATCCGATTGCTTTAATTTCTGGGAACAATCAAACTAACCAAGGAGTCATCCATTGAGCGAAACACAAAGGTCAAGAAATCCAAATACTGTTTTATACACAGGCACGCAGACAATAAATCTTGACAAATCAGTCTGCTTAATATGCGGGTCAGACACGTATCTTGAGGAGGAAAAAAATTTATGAAAATAGAGGACAAGTGTGTTGCAAGACGCATTCAAGATCAAGAGTCCCTCTATCTTATCATATTATCCTCGCAATTTTTAGATTGTTAGCAAAACCTCTTGTTAGAATTACAATTTACAATTGGAAGCACGTTTAGGTTTATATTCTAAAAATGTGAATAATTCGCCAAAAAAAAAAGTTAATTAATCATTAAGAAAGTGGTTCGTGAAAAAATCGTGGGAATAGAGGCAAAAAACTTGAGATTAGTCTGACACCTGCACGATTGTGTCTAGTTGGCACGCATTCTAGGCGCGAGTTTCAATGACTGCGTGTCTGTTGCCCGAGGCGTCTTGCGGTGAACCTCTCACGAGGGGGATAAAATACCCCCATCACGAATCCTATCTCTCTCTTTCTTTCTCCTTCATAGTGAGAAACGTAAAGCCGCATTAACGTTTAATTTCTCCCTTCATCCGGTCACCCTCTCGCATTCTGCACACTGATTGCTTACACCAACTCTTTTTTATCATCCTTTGACTTCTCGACGAAATAATTAACGCGTTGATAAAGTGTCACTCTCCTTTCACAATTCATTCCACTCAATCAGAATCTCGATTTTGTTTATTTCATCCGGAGATCAATCTCTTTTCATTAATGGATGTTACCGTTAAGTACGAATTGTCAAAATTGTAAAGAGAAGCAAAAAATCGAAAGATTTCTTGCTGCTCTTTACAATTTTGACAATAAATCGTGATTATCTGACTTTCATTAATTTTATTATAAGCTCATAATTCTGATTCTTAAGAGGTAACGAAAGCAAATCGTAAGTTTAGTAAATATCGTTCAGCTATACCGACGCGGATGTTTAAAAAACGTTATATGGTTTTGCAAATTCAAAAATATAATCTTTGTATAACAATGTTAAACTTTTTGTCTTTTAAGGTTTTCTAACAAAACTTTACCGTCCTGTCGTATGTCTAAATATACAACTTTCTATTCATGAACTCCTGCGAAACGTTGCTTTCCCCTTTTTGTCTTTTAAGGTTTTCTAACAAAACTTTTTTCCGGTCGATCAGAAGACTTCCCTTCACAATGTTGATAATCATCATAAATCCTGATCTGAAACAAAAGAAAATTCTAAATTAAAAAAAAAAAAATTAAACACTTGTATTAACAGTTTTAGGTTACTCACCAAATGATGTAATTAACAAAAAAAAATTGTTTTTCTGCTTACAGATGCGTGTGGTCTTTCGGACGTGGCCCATATTGAATCACTGCAGGAGAAATCGCAGTGCGCTCTGGAGGAATACTGCCGAACGCAATATCCAAATCAGCCGACGAGGTTCGGAAAGTTACTGCTACGATTACCATCCTTGAGGACAGTGTCGTCGCAGGTGATTGAACAACTCTTCTTCGTGAGGCTAGTGGGCAAGACACCGATAGAGACCCTTATAAGAGATATGCTCCTTAGTGGTAGTAGCTTTAATTGGCCTTACATGTCCACAATGTGACACTCTGTCTGGCGGCAGTTAGCTTCCGCATAATATCACTGTACCTCGATGCACGGCCCAGCTGCTTTCGGCATTAGCGAAATCGGAGGATCCCACGAGATTTGAGCCTGTGATCATGAATACTTCATATAAAAAAATACACACCGCATCACACATATTATTATCAACGAATCTCCTCGAGACAAATATCGATCCCTCGTTTCCTCAGATATTTAATTCTCGTTCTGGGGAAAATTGATCGTCCACAACTTTTTTTGTTCAAACCTAATCAAATTTGTTGGTTTTTTTTCTACAAGAAATAAATACTATTAGGTGACTTCAGCATTTTTTCACTACCATTTTTTTTTACTTTACCTAGCAGAGTATCTTTAGCTAACCTCTAAATTTTTTAAGGGCGATTCGCATTGTCAAAAGTTGTACCCTATTCTGGATACTTTTTTATTTGCAAATATTGCAAAAAAGACAATTTCAAGATTTTATTCTCGTTTTTGCATTGAACGATCATGAACTATAATTCTATAGAGCGGTAACTATGGCAAAGCCTCTGCTACCAATGGCGCAACTGTCGCTAAAAAAAACGCGGGAATATTTAAAATGCAATTTCAAAAAAGACTTTCAATTAACGTTTAAATAATTAATTTCTGTTAAAATTTTACTAAAGCGCAAAAATCTTAAAAATTAGTAACTGAATAAAAGAAATATCCAACTTTTATCTTTTTATCCAATATGCAACTAACGTCTAATTATTCGATTGGGTGAATTGCAAATCTTTTTTTTTCTAAATAAACTTCCCTGATGGTGTATCGATTCTGAAAGGGAGGATCAGAATAATTTAAAATCAAGATTCAATTTGGCAAAAAATTTACAAAAATTAAAAAATATTTTGATTCTAATTGTGAAGATTGGAAATTGACTAGACTCACTGCTCCTTGCGGGACTTGAATAAATAAAACCAGGTGCTTTCTGTGTTACAAGGTACCGTTTTGCTCTCGAGAAAGTTTAAGAGGGCGGAGATATGTCTTAAAAGAGTGCAAGATAATAAAGTCGTCGTTTATTCAGAATCAGAGGCGCCAAGTGGTCCGACAGTCTAAAGAAAACACCGCTGGGCGTAAAACTTGGAACTAGCCGGGCAAAGTGAGTGAGAAAGAGAGAATAAAGTCCGCGTGATCGAGGTGTGAAGAAATCATAAATTAGCATTTATAATCAGTTATCTAGATAAATACGTTTATCCGTATATTTCAAATCAAATCATCTAAAAGCACCAGTTTAAAAAATATTTCAAAAAACTATTTTAAAAAAATTTTTCATTAAAATTTTAACTTTTCAAAAATACAAAAGTCATCTTCTCTTTTTCTCATTCAGTGAATTCGAAACAAAATCCAATAGAAAAATTGCAGAAAAGTGCAATAAGAAAATTCTGACTAAATGTTATTTTTTTTCCTAATTACTCTGGTTATTTTTTTACGAATATTATACGTTAATGTTTGCTCGTTTCTACGAAATGTAAAAAAAAGGCGCAATTAAAAATGTAAAAAAAAATTGCGCAAAAATACTCAAACACTTATTGTGGATGCGGCCAGTGTTTACTTCGAGTTACCTGTTGCTTCGTATTTTTCTTGTATTATTTGTACAAAAATGATAAAGAAAAATTTTTTTTTTCAATGCAATATAATTGAAAAAGAGTCAAGTTTTTTTTTAAATTTCAAATCATTGAAAGATCCTCGCGAGAGCGCATTGTTCATCGAAAAAGTGATATTTATATGCCAACGTTGTTCTTTTTTTTGTATAAAAAAAATGAAGCGACTATTTTTATATTATTTATTTTTTAAATTTCTACTGTTTTTGGATAAGAAAAATATTCTTGTCCTCTTCTATTTAACAAAGATTCTTTATTTTCATTATTAGAAAACGAAGAATCAATTTGCGACACGATTACTTATTTTTATTATATGCGTTAAATATTGTGTTTTTGAAAGAAGAAGAAAAAAGTTTATTCGAATATTGAAAAGGCTGCATCAGTCTTACACTCGACTTCTAATTTAAGATCTAACGACGATGTCAGCGTTAATTAGTTATTTAAAAAGAAAATATGTCGTCGCTAAAAAAGAATTAGTCAAGAGAAAAATTGTTTTAATATTGTAATATTTGTATATGTATGAAAGTTGATTGTTTTTTTTTAAATTAAGCTTTGAATCATTAACAAAGAAAATTGTACCAAGCGATCGAAGAGAGAGAAAGAGAGGTTAGAACGTTTTCTATTGGTTCGTAAGATTTCCGGAAATATTACCAACCAATTAGAAAACTTTCCTTCCGAGCTACCCAACCATGCGAAACCTAACCTAGAAAATTTTTATTCCAATTTTTCTCACAAAAATAAAAATCGAAATTGACAATATTGAAAAATCATTTTATTTTAAGTAGGGAGAGTTTTTCAATCATTTCTTGGAACTCTCGATAATTTTATATAAAACAACATGTAAACTAGTGACATTTTAATTTTTTTCGTAAACAAGGCCCATAGTTATACATTTTAGGACAATAATTTTTTATACTCATTAGAAATCTGTTTTTACGCAATGAATTTTGTAATTTTCTTTTTGAAAAGAAATTTTTTATCACAGATTGAAATAAAAATGTATGCGCATTGCAAAAAAAGAGAAAACGAGACGTTTAGTGTGAATGAGAAGCAAAAAAAGATAAAAAAAATGAATGATGAAAAAAATACTTTGTGATATGTGCACGGTCAAAATTTTTACAATTTTTTCGAGACGGTGCTTTTTCTACTTTATAAATAATTGTACAATAAGAACGAAAAATTCGAACACTTTGTATAGGGTTATTTAATGATGATAGAAATTTGAAAAACACTTATATATAATAAATTATATATAAAAAAAATATTAAATGTGGCAATTTCGAGCTAGTTACTTAGAGAACTTTTTAGGGATATAAAAAAAAATGGGATCTTTGTAATGATTTAAAGCAGCGGTCGTTTCTTACAAAAAAAAATGCGAATTATTATTGTTAACAAAAAGGATACCTTCCAACAAATATTGCAAAAATTTTTGCAAATAAAAAAATGCTCAGATTTAACTTTTTATTTTTTCTCCTCCTTTCGTTTGAAGAGAATTTTTTTTTTTTTAATATTGTTGTCGAAGGAATCTTTTTGTACGCGAAGACAGTTGCTCAGAAAACTCAAAAATGTATTATATATATAAAAAAACTAATATCAAAAAAAGACATCTGTTGTAAGTAGGTTACAAAGATACTATAAATAGTTATGTATAAAGATGTGAACATTTTTGTATAAAAATTGTATATAATTAATATATATAAATGAATATAAATATATAAATATATATATAAATTGCAAAAAATGATGAATATATAAAATAAAGTAAATAAAATAAAATTGTTTATTGTCTATATTTTTGAGTAATGATGAAAACCTTGTTTCCCTTTATTTTAATTTAATATAATGTTATTTAATTTAATTTAATATTTAATATAATAATAATAATAATAATAATAATAATAATAAAAGTTAATATAGATATATTTTTAGTTTAGTAGTTAGTAAGTAATTAGTAATTTTAAGTTCTGTACATTAATTAATTCAATATTATATTGAAAAGAGCATGAAATATAATTTTATAGAAAGGTAACTCGATCGCGATGGCGCCTCTGCCACGAGTGGCGCCACTCTCGCTTCAAGAAAAATTACGCGCGAAAATTTGAAAAACAATTTTAAAAAAACCCATTTTTATTAACTTTTTTTTAACCTTATTAATTTATTTAAAAAATTTGTCACAATTAACGAGATTTACACCTTTTTCTACGGATTTTCAAATCCAAGATAAAAAATCAAAGAAAAAGAAATTATTAGATTGAGAGATTGAGAGATTTGTTTTTGTTTTTGTTGGTGTTGTCAAAGCGTCTCGGTTCTCGCGGACTTGAAAAGGATGCAAAGTGAAGAAAATGAATGGCAAATGGAATGGAGGGAGGTTTACTTTCCAAAGACCTTTAGGGTCGCGATCGCAGACAGAGGCATCGCCGTCACGTCGGCCAGAAATCACTCGGTGCGTCAGGGAAAATTCGTTCGCCAATTGTTTATATTGAAATACGCTCGTGCAGGAATGCCCGGCGGTCTGAGGGAAGTATTCAAAAAAAAGAAAACTAAAATAGAGAAGCCAAGACTTCTTTTGAAATTGGGACGACAGTATAAAGAACTCAAAGGAACAAATCAACATTTAAAATTTTTTTTTTTTTAACTTTTCCTACATACTTTTCTCTCATCTCTCATTCAAAAATAATAAATAAATCTCACATCCAGAAAAATCAATCGATAATACGTTACAAATATTATAATTTTGAAAAACAAAAAGTTTACCATTTAATTTTTTTTATCGGTACTTGTTTAAAAGAGTTTCGAAACCGAATTTTAATTTTAAGTTTGTGAAAATTCACTTATTCATAAAATTTTGAGAGTAAAAAAAATAAATATTTCATCCAATCGGAAAAATATCTAAATCCGATAAAAAACGCTTCCAGTACGATGATAGATACTTGATTGACTTACAAAGTGCTGATGCGTAATTCCAGAAAAAATTGGATTTCAACGAAATAGGTTCACAGCCTTTGGAAATAAAATTACCCTTTTGATCCCCATTGATCCACCGCCTTATTGGATAAAACAAGAGTGAAAGGTTCAGAACTGATAATTAAATTACCCCCTCTATCTTCTTCCAAAGTGTAGAAATTTTCTCCATTCAATTAAAGACTATAAAAAATAGAAAAAAAAATTATATTATAATAATCGACATAATTATATTTTTTAGAAAGTGAAGAATTTTCATTAAAGAAAAAAGAAAATTTTTTAAAAATAACAATGGCAAAAATATAGGTTCAAATTTTATAATTAAAATATAAAAAGAACTTTTTTATATTACAAAATAGAAACTAGAAGATTAAGTGAAGCAATTCTAAATGTCTAATAAATAATAAAATATAAAATCAAGATTAGAAATATGAGTAAATAAATTTAATAATTTCAAACATCTGGGATTATTTATTAGCCAAGTGAGATTAGGATCTTAACTTCAAAATTCAATTGAAAATGTTTAATGGCAATTATATTAACGTTTGATGTACATTCTAAAAGGTAAAATTGGTGAGAAAGAAAAGATAAGTAATGCGCGATAAGACCGATTAAAGACCCCCATATATATATATATATATATATATATATATATATATGAAGTATAGTAAATCATGAAAAATTATTGAAGTGAGAAAGTTGTAAACAATCTAATTAGCACATTGCGTGTGAAGTGAAATTCCAATAAAACTCCAATCGCGATAATATGACTCACCAGACGTGTAATTAACACCTTCCAGTTAAATAAGAATTTAAAAACTTCTTGTTATGTTGAAATTGTATTTCTATTGTTTTTAGTGCATTTCTGTCTTAGTTGTTTTGTTACATTAAGAAAAGAATGTTTATTACAGCAAAGTGTGCCCGCAAAGTGTTTTTACCGCATAAATAGTAAATTTATTTTAAAAAATAAGTCTTATTTTGTTTTAAGCCTAATTTTGATTGAAACAACTTTAAATATTTAACAACTATTCCAAATATTGACTAAATTTCTAAATGAAAAACTGATTTTTGTCCTATTTTTATTTTAGGGACAAAAAACTGATTTTTGTCCCATTTTTATTTTAGGGACAAAAATGAGTTGAATTTAAGAAAAAAAAAACAGTTTTGAGTATAGCTGTAAGCACTTGAAGACTTTGTTTTTAATTTTAAAAAATTCAAACCCTAATTTCCACTTGTGTGGTGGAGACCGACAACGAATCACTTTTTAGGATAAATGTCCCTTTTTCTGTGATTTAAATGCCAAGATGTTAATTGAGTATAAAAACTGACTTACAAACTCGTTCATTTCACTTTTTTTTCGACGACTTTGCAAGTTTTGCGAAACCTTATTCTATTAGATCTTGTTTCTCCTTCTCCTCCTTTTTTCTGTTTTTAAAGTCGCAGAATATACATAAATTGCCAGTAAATCACAGATGTTCGCGTGCATGGAAAATGCAGGCAAAACAGAAAGGAGAAAGAAAGTCACAAAAGTTATCAACTCCTCTATTCGCCTGCAGGTTTTTTTTTTTGCAGTTGGTCGCTTAGAATTTCAATAAATCTAAACTGTTCGCGCAACTCTTTTAAGCGCATCCCAAAGAGGCGCTTCTTGGCTTTCATCCAAACCCACCCTCCATACATATATACACAATATTTAATGGACATTTGAACCATTGCAAAATAATTTTACATTTCTGTTGACATTTGTACGATTTTTGCGAGCAAATTTTTATTTCCTTATCGCCAACGCTCGTTTGAATACACTTTTCCTAATTTAATATATTTTCTAATTAATATTAAAAATTTTTTTGTTAATATAATGAATAATAATAATATACGAATGTTACTTTTTTTATTTTTAGCGTCGCTTTTACACTTTTTTGTTTAAGAACTGATCCTTAAAATGTGCCAAATCTGAATTTGGCAACTAATATTAAATAACTAGTATTAAATATTAGTAGCATAAGATAAAAAAAGCTAGTAAACGATATAATATGTGCAAGTTACAAATGATTACATACCCTCTTAGGACATAATAAATTGACATTGAATCGGAATCCACGAAGAAATTGTCTGCAAGGGAAATATAAAGTAGAAATGAATGTGCCTTTTCTTATATTAAATTATAGACAAGCAAAAGCGTCTTGAAAATTAATTCACACTGCAGTTAGTTATCGTATAAGCTACCGCAGTTATAATTTAAAATACGAGGCAGTTCGGTATTTGATTATATTTACATCGACAAAAAAGAAATGAAAAAAGAAAAAAAGAAATACTCGTGAGAAACCATCATAATCGAATAAATTTACGCTTAAAAAGCGAATCATCATTTTCTCTGCTTTAATATCTATACAAAGCAACATTTGCTTTGTCCTTCGACCGCAATTCAAAAATAATGTCACTAATATTTTTTTTCTTTCATTTTCGAACAGAATTTTGATTTTTCCCTCTAAAAAAAAATTTTTTCACTAAAGAATATTCTGATTCATATACTCTTTAACGAAATGAATCAGTTTATAAAATAAATGTAAGCACAAAAAATATTTTTAATATGTTTATTTTTGAATATCTTTAATTGCAAAATTATTCGTATACATGAATAGTTTTTTAGATAAATATTTAATTATAAATTTTATCATTATTATTATTATTATTATTATTTTTCCATAGAAATTACAATTTTCAGCTACATTTCAAATTTTTTCAAACCTTTTAAAATTCAATTTCATTTGTCAAAAATTAATTTCAAGATTTCAATTTAAACATTTTCTAGAATAATTGATAAAAGCAAAATTAATTTAATAAAAAACATTATTTTTTAAGTTTTCTAGGAAAACATTTTAGCAAATAGAAAAAAAATTAGAAAGATATAATCTATCCTCCTTATCACTAATTTAAAAGCAAAAAAGCTCTCACTAATTCAAATTAGTAAACATGTTTACTAATTCAAATTTAGAGAAAGAAATTTAGATAAAAAACCATTTTTTAAATTAGAAAAATTAAGAAACAAAAATACCGAAAAAAATACGAAAGTTTTAAAGCAATAAAATTTTTTTTCAATATTTTCAAATTATTATCTTTGTTCACGAGTTTTGAACTTAAATTTTTCCAGTGCACAGTAAGCGCGATAATTTAAAGTTCTCACGGAAATGCAATAAAAATGTTGTATTCTCGATGTATTAGATAATTTAAAAATGTTTTTTCCCCCTTTTTTATGCAAAGAACCATAAAAATTGTTTCATAAAATTTTGTTAAATATATAAAGGCTGGTCTTAACAAAATATTCTGCATACGTGTCAAGAATTGTGTTTCAAAGAATTAATCATAAAAATGTCTTTCAACAAAATTAGCATAATTCTTGTGCTCTTCATTATTTCGGATATACAATTTTTAATTGACTCAATTGTACCACGTAAGTACGTCTAATATAAATCTTACTTTCAGTCCATCACTTTTTCAAAAAAAAAAAAAACAAAAAAAAACCGCGGTGTTTACTTTCTATAGAAACATTTTTTAATTGAATTTTATTTTAAGTCCTAAAATTGACTTGATTTAGTTTTCAACTTTTAAAAATAGGCCAATTTTTAATCATTTTTGTTGTTTTATAATGTAAACGGTTTGAGACTTTGTTTTTTCTAAAATTCAATAAAGTGAACATCTCTACACTGAAAAAAAAATAAATAAATAAATTTGATTCAAATAACCCATTACTTGACTATTATCAATTAAATATTTACTGGAATGAAATAATTTTTATTGGAGTCAATTAAATAATATTTGAATCAATAATTTCAGTATTTAAAGTAAATACGATTTAATTGACTCAAATAGAAATTATTTGATTCAAGTAAATATTTATAATTGATAATTCAACTAATATCGGTTATTTGAATCAAATAAATTTTTTTTCAGTGTATACAACTTAGTAAAATCTTTGGCTAATTAAAATTTTTTCGTTAAAAACATTTATATATTGTTTATTTTTAGAATTTGAGTGTGATTTATTCAAAGTTAAAAACGGAGTTGTTAGATTCAATCCAAAGAGAAATTTTGCGTATGTAAGGTGTAAACCAGATTATACTCTCGTTGGTGGGAACAATGTTACTTGCACTAATGGAAGTTGGCCAGAAGCAATTCCAGGATGTCCACGTAAGAATTTTATTATATTTTTATTTATCAATATTGAATTTCTTATTTTGTGCTATATTTTTAATTATTATTTTTACAATTGCCATTATTTGATATTTTCAGATCAAGATTGTTTAACTGATGATTTGAAAACAATTCCTAAAAATGGTCACTCTTTTGTATTTGTCATACATAATGTCGTTTTTATTAAGTATTCTTGTAAGAAAGGCTATGTACTGGGAGGACAAAAAGATAACACTTGTAAAGAGGGAATATGGAAATATAAAAATCATTCTGTTTGTTTATAATAACTTATATGGAAAGGAGCCTTCATAGAAAGGACCAACACTGTAAGAAATAAGTTTTGTTTTAATCCTGATTTTGACTAATTGTGTAAATTAGCTAAAACTAGAACTAGAACCAAAATTGCTTCTAAGAATTACTAATTAAAAGTTTGTGTATTTTTGTTGATGTAACAAAAAAATTGGTTGAAACGAAATATTTTATATTTTTTACCCTCTCCCAAATTGAAAATCTCGATTGAAATATAGTTGCGGTCACTGTTATGGCCGTTATCGGAGAGTTACGTGTCAATGATCACCTGCTCGTTTAATAGTCTCTCTATGTCCCTCGGAACTTTAGAGGTAAATGTGTGCCTTTAGCCAATGGATATAAAGTTCTATGACACATGCGATGCGAGAGTGAGACTATACAATGTCGAGATTATAATATAGAAAAGGATGAATCGCGTTTACAGAGGATATTTGGACCAACTCCAAAGCCGAGAGTAGTGCTTCTCTGTATTCAGTGTATTCCATTTTATCGTTTCTCTCGCTGAGAAGATACGGTCACCCCGGAGATAACCCCAGTGTCTGACCTTATTATATCTTACTTCTCCAAACTATATACACCAGGCTCCTTTTACTCCGGTAGTTCTGACGTCATTTCATGTCTTGTCTACCATATTGAAAGGAAATGAGAGATAAGTTTCTTTGAATTGTCAGTAAACGGTAAGACCGCGGCCAAGAAAAGAGAGGAGTCAATGAGAATTATCCCATGAATGAAGTAGATGATCACAAAAATAGCAAAAAAAAAAAAAAAGATTGAGTCTTTTCAATTTAATTGCAACCCATCATCGAATATGAATTTACCAACATCGAATCAAGTCATAATCTTTAAATTTTAAATTCTTAAAGTAGGGTTGTCACAAAAAATTAATTTTCTTTTTCCGTAACTTTTCCCTGATTCCCAAACCTTTTCCTGACTGATTTTGACTTTTTTCCTGACCCCTAAAAAATATTCTGATTCACTCTCTTTAGATACTCCCACCGTTAACTTAAAAGTATCAAATTGCAACGAATTGATATACCAAGAATGCAAATCAAATAAAAAATTCATCCAAATTTTTGGCATCAATTTGATACTTTAAAGAAAATTGTATACAAAGAAATGTTCTATTAAATTTATTTAAAAATTTCTTCAAAAGAAAAATTACTCGAAAACATCAATAACTTCTTTTTTAAACAAATATTTAATCATTATATTATTTTTCCATAGGAATTAAAATTTTCTAAAAATCAAATTTAAACCTTTTGAAATTCGACTTTTAAAAAAATTATTATAAAACATGAAGATAGCAAGCACTCCGAGTCTTCGACTAAAATAAAATCCTTCGTAAGAATTCAATTATTTTTATAAGTAACACAATTTGTCACATTAATTGAACTATTTTTAAAAAAATAATAAAATTCGTTGTAAGAATTCAATTATTATCATAAATAATAAAATTTTTCCTAGGATTTAAATTATTTTGAATACTATTTTAAATGAATTCCTCGAAAAGTGTGATTATTTTAAAACATTGTTTGCAAGGATTCAATTATACATTCAAAAAATAATGAACTTCTTCGCTGAAATTCCAATATTTTCAAAATCTACTATTTTAATAAAATTTCTCAGAAGAATACAATTATTGAAAAAAAAAAATGTAATAAAATTTGTTGCAAGACTTCAATTATTTTCCTAAATAATAAAATTCTTCACAGGATTTTCAATTATTTTTAATACAATTTTTGTGTAAATTCTTCGAAAAATGTATAATTAATTTCAAAAAAATTTTTAAACCTATTCGAAAGAAATAAATGAACAATTATCAAATATTTTTAATAATTTCTGTAAAAGTTTATAGAGAATTTGAAAATCTATATTATGTTTAAAATTTAATTTTAGGAAATTTTGAATAATACAGAAATTCTTCAATTAAATATTTAGAAAATAAAAGCTTCAAATAATTTCAGGAAAAAATTCAATTAAACTTTTTTAAAACACAATTATTTATAAAAATTCATGCTATAATACATTTAATATTCAACTATTATCTAAAATTTTAACTAAAATTCATTTCTAAAACAATTTTTATTAGCAAATTATATCGAGAATTCAATTATTTAAATACAAAAATAAAAAAAATTATTCAGTAAATAAATGTTTACAAAAAAGAACTTTTCTTCTTTCTTCAGTCAAAGAAGAAAGTACTTTTCTACTTTCTTCAGTCAAAGTAGAAAGAGCTTTCGCTCTTTCTTCAATCAAAGAATAAAGTACTTTTCTTCTTTCTTCAATAATATAAGAAAAAAAATTTGTTATTTCTTTAGTCAAAAAAGAAAGAAGTTTTGTTCTTTCTTCAGTCAAAGAAGAAAGAAGTTTTGTTTTTCTGAAGAAAGCTTCAGACAAAGAAGAAAGTACTTTTTTTCTTTCTTCAGTGATACAAGAAAGAACTTTTGTTCTTTCTTCAGTCAAAGAAGAAAGAAAGTTTTGTTCTTTCTTCAGTCAAAGAAGAAAGAAAGTTTTGTTCTTTCTTCAGTCAAAGAAATAAGAAGCTTTGTTCCTATTTCTTAAATCATAGAAGAACTCTGTAAAGCCCCGAAAATTAAAACATTTTTTGATAGTATTCTTACTATCAAAAACCGAAATCGTTTAACTAAAAACTAATACAAATGAAATTTTCGGTTTTTGATAGTATTAATAATATGAAAAACCAAAAATTACGAAAATTGGGGAATGGAAAAGTTTCCTAACTCTATAATGTAACATATTCTTTGTCACAATTCACAAAAGAAAAATACGATACATAATGTATTGATAATTATGAGACACCCAGTAGTCAATAAACTTTAAATTCGATTGGATTTATTGTTATTGAGATGTAGATAGACATGACCCAAAAATTGCATCACAGTACATAGCGTAAACAACTGCTTTTATAGATTATTCTAAACGACCATGATGATAAGGAATCTAAAAATACATGATGATTTTAATGATTTTTTAAACTATGCTTTGTTTCTGCTAATACTTTTTGAAATCGCAAATCTCTTATTGTATATTAAAAGTTGCTTCCTTCGCTTTGCTCGTTAAATCATGTTTAAACATTTAAACATATATATTCAAATAATTCAAAAGTAAAATGAGAGTTAGTAATTTAAATGAATAGCTACTTATAAATAAATAAATAGAATAAAAATTAAGAAATAAATATTTTTAATAATTCAAAGTCTACGGAGTTAATTTACAGATAAAATAAAATTAACTTTTTATAAATTAAATTAATATCACTGTTAATTATTAATAGTATCAAATTGCAACGAATTCCCGTGTAGAAAAATTTCTTGGCGCTAGCTAGCAGTGCTAGATACATGGTAAATTTACATGCAGTCTAGCGCTGCTAGCTAGCGCCACGAAATTTTTCTACACGGGTTTGATACCAAAAATGTGGATCAAATCAAAAATTGGTCTATATTTTGTTTAGATCAATTTGATCCACTTTGGTATCAATTTGATACTATCAAGAAAACTGTGAAATACTATAAAATATAATTTTTTTCAAATTAAGTAAGGTAAAATATATAAAATATTCAGATTAAAGTATATTGAAAGAAAAAGTAGTGCAAAAGAAAATAGATACTGTTTTTAAACAAATAATAAAAAATACATTTTTATCACTACGTATATATTTTAGTTTTATCAATAATTTTAATATGTTAGAAGAATAATAAAAAAATCCATACCTCATGATAGTGGAAGTTATTCAAAATTTACTGAATTTACACAATATGTTATAGGAAGAAAATTTTTAAATACAAAAAAAATTATTAAATTATAAAAAGAGTATAACAAAAAGAGATGTACAATAAAGATTTATAGATTTGCACTATCTCTCAATGCTTATCCTAAAGATTATATATTTTACCATTAGAAACTTTTTTCTTTCTCTTCCTCTTTCTGTAGAAATCAGAATATAGAAGTAAAAAAAAAAGTTAACAATAAATATGTTTGAAACTAAAATTCGTCGCCTTTGTGTGAATCGCAGGAGAGGGAGCGCGCAGAGAGATAAGTCAGTCTCTAATTATTCTTGAATTACTTTTTCCCTAAAAGAAATGAATCCAAAGAAGAGAAAAAGGATGGTGAGGGTGGTGTCGTTAAATACTTAGCCGAAGGGTGCTCTTTTCTTTTCTCAACACTGAAGAAATCATACTCTCATTAGGTTTTTCTTTTCCGAATAACTAAAATAGAGTCTTTTCTTGCATATTGGAGAATGATCGAAGAACAAATTTTGTTTTGGTATTATGAATATTTATTGTTTAAAGTATAGCAGTATTTTTTAAAGAATGATTGAAAATGGCACCAAATGGCAAAAATATTACAATACTAAGAGTTCACTGTAAAAAATAAGTATTTGTTTTAATCCTAATTTTGACTAATATATATATACTTTTTACAGTGCACTGTAAAAAGTATGTTTTCAAATAAGATGAAAGATAATGTCTCTCTCGAGGAAATATAAACTTCCGTGAACCATTGAATGAGATGAGGCTGATGATGTATGCATGCAAGCCTAACAATAATGTCTGACCAAAGTAGTGTCCGATTCATATATATATTGGGATCAAAGGAACGACAAACGGATAACGGGCCCGTGCCTTCCGTTCCTTGATGGAGTAATGTGCGTTTGTTATGTTTCAATTGCCATATACCACCCACGCATAAATTATAAGCGAGTTCATCCATCCCCCATCATGAGCCGCAAACAGGAAACAAACATTTTTTTTATGATCCGGTAGCTAGAGGAGTTACTTTCCTTCCTCTGGATCTTCTTCTTCTTCTTCTTCTTCTTCTTCTTCTTCTGCTACTTCTTTTCTATTAACTTCAAGGTATCAAATTACAACAAATTGATATCAAAAATTGTGCTAAATTTTTGGCATCAATTTGATCCACTTTTGATACTTTTAATTTTCATTTGATATACAATTTAATACTTTCAAGAAAACTTTATTCTTCATCATTATCATCAATTTGATGTAGTAATCAATTACTAAAATGGCACTAAATGTAAAAAAAAATTTCAATACTAAGACAAATATACACTGTAAAAAATAAACTGGGTTGACACAGGTCAGGGAAATTTAGGAATTTAGGGAAAAGTCAGGAATTTTTATTTTCAAT